TGTGACCCCAGTGTGACGACACACAGCCAGTGGACACTAAGTCAATAGAATTCCAGGAACTGTATTCATTCACAGCATTACATTCAGGGTTGATGACAGGCAATGCTAAATTACACGAATTATATAGATGCACTGTTTATCACTTAGATAAACAAAACAACATTTGAAAAGTTGGGAATCAGTGGTAAGCGTGAGCTACCGGTAATTACTAGAAAATTGAAAGAAAGGACACACACACACACACACACACACACACACACACACACACACACACTATAGCCATAGGTTGAATTGGTTATGAAAGGGCGAGCAATGCGTAGGCTTATCCTTATTAATAAAGGTGACAGACAATGTAGGTGTTTTGTAATTTCAGACGCAGAGGGAAGTTGAAGCATGAACCCATTACCGATTAAATTCAACGAATTGGACGGAAATTGGCCTTAAAAGAAGCCATGATAAGTCAAATTATTTCTTGGTAAAGAATACTCGTAGTACAAGTTTTCAGTATTGAATCCTTCAGTATTCCTGTGAATTTTACAAACTGTTATTTATATTGGCATGAAAATATTATTTGAAAGACTGAAACAAGTTATATGGATTTTATATTGCAGCCAACATCCCCAGTGACATTTTAAATAATTAAAGATGCTGCCATCTGGTTTATGGTTTTACATACATGTCTGTGTACTGCATATTAATTAGTTTTGATTCCATCATTTCAGATAAATATTCTGTCTTATTTTCGTCATTATCAACTGATACATTGTATGGTTTTGTCATGGAAAATAATATGTCCTTTGGCGCTTGTACATTTATTCGCAGGCTTTGATATTAAAATTCGTTTGTATATACTGAATGAAAACCCTGTCTTGAAATAGATGTCACTATTTGCACAAACAGCTGATTAAAGAAATCATACTTCACCTGGAACAACACGTGACTTCAGGCGAAGATTACATTTTGAAATAATGTTTCTTTTGTTCGCCGTGAGACATCAAAGAAAACGTCTTGAATCACCATCAATTTTCCCGTAGGATTTTTTCCGGAATTTGAACAGCTAAGTGAATGTTTTATCACAGATATCTACGCTTGAGTTGGTAACAAGTATTGCCATTGATTTCTCCATTATCGTAAAAAATCTTTTCCATAGTTCCTCTGTCTCGTGCATTAAACATACATACAGAGATGATTTATAATATATGGAATGGAATGTGCTACCAATTGAAATATGCTCAATTAAATCAACTGATAACTTTAAAAGGAAGTTATAAACATATCTATTCAAGAAGTGTTATTATTAATTACCTTACATGTAATTGGTTTTATGTGAGAATTAGGTTGTTTTTTATCTACATTTTTAATCTTTATTTAATTCTTTCTGATTTCTTTATTTCTTGGTAATCGTGTCATTAAGTATTTTTTTACGTAAAGTCCAATGAATATTTTAAATGTGTTTTAGACTTAAAATACATTTATTATTATCAATATATTATTATATATGTCGAAGTTTGGACGTGATCTTTTGTAGATTCCTTGACATTAAATGATAGGATAAAAAGTATAATAAATTGGAACTTAAGGGAATAATCAAGACATCAGACTTCTAGCTTTACTCAACCAAATCCAATTAACGCCAGAATGAAAGACAAAGTACGATTAAGTTCAAAGACTGATAGGTTAGACATATAAGAGTCAATTTTCAGTCGTGAACGCTAACGGATCGTGTATCTTTAGTCAGATATTCTACATAGGGTCACATGATTTAGGATTCAGAGGGAGTGATTGAGAAGTCAGATTATCGTGATCTTTGACTGGCAGTGTGAACCGATCAATTAAGTTTTTTCAAAAGAAAAAAAAAAGAAAGAGACGCGAACTTAGAAGACTACAGTCAATCAGTGACCTATATATACATGCACCAAGGCCAATTAAGCAAATAACTGTAAGATGTCGGTTTGTAGATGTAGATTAATGCGGTCGTCTTTGATAAGAACCTGTTCTGAGGAACAATGCTTGTGAAAAACTAAGGAAATGCATTAGTGGCTACCACCGTGACAGGAGCAGTGGGTTTCATTCCACTCTATTACGAGTGTTTTTTTATGAAAACCTGTTGGATACCTTTCTGAAATTCAGTACTTCTCAGCGATATGAGGTTGAATGTAGATATTTCAGGTCACATGGTACCACCTGGTATAAAGCTAATGTAAATATGGAATGTAAAGCTGCAGCACACTACGTACTGAAATTAGTTACAATCGGAAACATTTTTATATGATATTTGTTTATTGCTAAGATACAACTTCGTTTAAAAGCTCTTTTGTCTGTCAAATCAGCAATATGAATGATACGTTGTATCCTGGAACGGAGGAATTCAATATAAGAGGAAAGATGAAGATTTGATAGTTTTTATATTTTCATCATTTGCAAACACGAAAACAAATGACAAATGTCATCTGCGATTTGTATCAAGATGAAAGCGAGACGTAAAGTTGAAGTTGGATATTTGTTTATTGCTAAGATGACTCTTCGCGCAGTGTCCCATCTCATCCCTCCTGTCAGTACTTCTAGCGTTCGCTAAGATCCTCTTCTTGGAGAGTGCGATAAGATAAATCATACACGATGAGAAAAAGTACTTATACCTACCTTTGATTTGTTAACGAAGTGATTAACCTTGTTTAACATAAATATAAAAGCGCTATATCAAATTCCCTGAATTGGAAGGTAACTTTTTTTTACACTTTTTGCACCTTTATAAAAATTAAGTATTCTTCTCTGTTATTCATAGACGCGTCTTCCATTGGTGTTCTCATCAACACATTGATTTTCAGACGGCCTTTAAGAGGTGTGCTTGTCAATTAAGCGTCCGTCTGTGTGCTTGCTTTGTTTGAAAATCCATGTTGCGTGTGTACCCACGTGTTCGTTTAGTTCGTGTCGAAATTCTATATCCGTATCTCTACCACATGCTTTTACATATATCACTTACAACTACAACATCAACATCTTTTGAAAGTATGTGAAGGGAGGTCTGGAGGCCACCCACTGAAGAGAACTAATCTTTTCGTCTTGAAAGAAGGCGCACTTTCCACTGAAAATTAAGCAATAACATCGATTTTTGAAATAGTTTGGGTTTCCAGGATGTGATCCTCTATCTAAACGTGTTTGTCGGTTTTTGTCGAAATCTGTGTTACATGTGCGATAACATCGTCTTTTGGTCCTTTCCTAAGGCATTATTTGTATTTTCCTACATTCAAGGAGGACAGCTGTAGGGATAGATAGACATCATATACATCTTTTGAATTGATTTGAAGGAATTCCTGACACGATAAATAAATAAATAAACTTGAAAAGGGAGATTATATTTTCCTCAAGACAGTCCATTTTCTCTTTAAAAAATAAAATTATTTCCTACATATATATTTAACTAATTTATTGTATTTTGGGTAAAAAAATGCTTTGATTAGCAAAGCCTATCATCCGGTTTAATGTATTGCAGAAAAATATTAGGTTTGACATCTGGTATTTGGATGTTAAACGTTGATCTTTGTGTCTTTCGTTCACAATCCAGCCACTGCTAATTAGCTTTCCAACGTGAGAAACACCCGTTAACATATCATAAGGCATCAATACGTGATACCTACATGTATCACACACATATACAGAGAGAGAGAGAGAGAGAGAGAGAGAGAGAGAGAGAGAGAGAGAGATACAAAGAAGAAAGGAAAAAACTATCAAGGTAATACATAGAAATGGAAAAACTAATAGGTTACACTAAACAGCTCGACCTATAAAATAGATGGAAACGGGATAAACTTTCAACAAAAACAAAAAGTCGTTCAGCTTTACTTACTGTAGGTGATGCTTGGACCTATTATACCGGGTACATGAAAAATGGGTGATGTTTAACCAACTTCTTTTTCGAAGACAACTTTTACAAAACCAGAATTACTCTACCCATTTTGAATTTCTGCAAAAAGCTCACTATTCTTTATAATGCCATCGCTTAAGATCAATTTCTCTTGTTTGAAAATTTACAAAGGACGAAAAAATCATACTGATTGAATGAATCGCTGTAATCGTCTGATTTGTTAATACTTTAGGGCCTCTCGTCTGCAATTCCTACACTTGCGGCATTCAAGCGGAACCTAAAAACATTTCTGTTGAACACGATTACAAAATTTATGGATATTTGTTTTAGTACAGGAGTTGATTGACAAACCGTTGCTATGCCAACTAAACCGTTGGACGCCCGGGGTCTTTATCTTGTCCACTTTGGTCTAGACAAGGGAGGGATTCTATGATTTAATCTAAGAAAATATAACGTGCTATGGAAGATGGAATGGTCTGATACAGCAAACAAATACTGGCTGATATTTAAAGATTTTGACCATTTCTTACACAGATTGTTCTATCAATCACTGGCAGTTTTCGTTTAGTGTTTTCATATCCGACAAACAGGAAGCAATCATCGTTTGTTTCTCAACCGGCTGTAAGCATGAAACGTAAAGCAGCTTCATGACAGAAATTTATTGTCTGTCTTGTAATCTACGGATGAATATTTCGGAAGCCAAAATAATTTTTCAAATTTGCAGTGGGGCAGGAAGAGATGGGAAATGATCACACGTAGAAACAGAATAGACTAACTGTCACTCCATTAGCCTCTTATCACACACACACATACACGAACACACACACACTGGCCTCAATAAAAACTCGACATCATAATGCAGATTTATCTTGTTTGATAGAATATTTTATTTAGAAAGGACGGAAAATCTATATTGATTGAATGGACATTGTTATTTCATCTCTCTCTCTTTGTTAATAGCCGCTCGTTCAGACATACTCTTGTGTTGGAATAATATCTAATTGATTTTTACTGACATTTGAAGTTGCTCTTACTTAATCTGTTAGGAGCGATCATCTCACCAAATACAATGTATCCAAGTAGGCCCTAAAGATGAAAAGAATTTATTGCTGAATAATAAAGCTATGCGCTCATCTGCTTGACAAATGGTATTCAAATAATTCTTAAAACAATGAATTTTGCGAAGATGTACCAGTTATTATAAAGTTGAACTTTCACAATGCAGAAAGAAATGAGTACGATAGTATAGACACAAAAACCTCCGCATTTGAGTCATTGATCTCAAACATCATAGACATCACTATGCAAAATCTCATACGTCTTTAATTCCTGTTCGAAATGTTTGTCGAAGTCCAAAATAGCTTGTTTCACAGTTTGTTTCTCGCTTGTTTTTCTCGATGTGCTCGGTCCCGCTGCTGATGGGTTTGGTTTACTGGTCCAAAGTTTGACGATGTTCTGTGCACGACAAAAATTGCACTTTTTTTCTGCATCTACAGCGCAAGTACAAGCGTCCATGGTTTGGTCGACGGTTTTTGATTCAGGAACTGTGGACGTTTTTAACATGGGGGTTTTCTCTTTGGCTTGGTTCGTTTGTCTGTCTCCCACTTCTTTGGGTTTGTTCTCAGCAACCACATGCAGCGAGCTGGTGCGGGTAGCCCTGTTAATACGGGAATTTTTCCTCCAGTTGTCCAGCCACTTTGCCGACCTAGCCAACGTATCTGCCAAATTGCGTCTGACTTCACGCATGTTTCTCGTCAGATCGTCGTGTTGCATTTCCTTCCTGATTTTGGCCATGCCTTCAAAATATATGGTCACCTGGTGATCTGTGTTTAAGTGATTGGATTTTCTGCTGCGAATGTGAGAGGCCACCAGCAAGAAGACGGAAAACCCGTACACGGCACACACAGCTATTACGTAGTAGAGCGCACCCTCGTGGTCGTAATCGGATGATGTAGAGTTAGTGGGTGGTGTCGGCATCGTTACATTAATTTCAACTTGATCCATCGTGAATTTATAACAGTCTGAAAGAAAATAGTGCGTTATTTGACCATTTCATATTTTATTCCGTTATTTGCAAGATCTCATAGACGTCGGCGGATAGAGCAGTGCCATAAATTCGCCATGTTTCATTGAAATGAATACTTTTCAAAAGCAAAACACCTTCTCATGAATTAAAAAAAACACACTTAACTTCTTTACCATTTATCACAAAATTATGAAAATTCAAATGTTCTCTTACCCCCACTGCATAGATTCCACGGACGGTTCCCACTACACACGACGTCTACATACAAAGAAAGTACATAGGCAAAATATTCTCTTTCGAATTCTAATAATGTATAAATACCTGAAACAATTACCCTCCGTTAAGAAAATATTTCTCAGTTGGGACATTTTGAAAGGGACAGGTTTGCCAAGCGTAAAAATCACCCTGCTGAATGTACAGGATAAACAGCTCAAAAGATAACAAAAGCAACAGCGAATAAGACATCTAGATCCTTGTCATAATCTGGGGGTATTTACTACTTGGTCGTGACCAGTTAAATGCAAATACACAAAATAAATATGTATACATACCAAAAATGGGTCCAAGTTTTAACAAAGCAATAGACACTTGCTCTCTGCGAGTTATCTGTTCCCCAATATACTTTGCTGCATTATGCGTTTTTTTTTTAATTTTTGATTTATTTATTTTTTGTCAAATCAGAATATTGATTTTAAAACTTTCAGTGTATACTGCAAATTATTTGATCTACAATTTCAAGCTACATATATATATATATATGCTTATGTACCATGTGTAGCTGGTCTTTTGAAAACGACCTAGTCATTTTTAAAGGTCTGAACCAACAAGTGCAAAGTTCGTATCATTTTCCTATATTAGGATTTCTCCTTGATGAACTGCTAACGTTCTGTGAAAAGAAACATTATAAAGATTGTATTAAACACAGGATATCCTAAACTCATGGAACTTTTTGATTTCCCCAGTGGTTTTATTTATCGACGACATAAACCCAAGTTTAACAAAGATCTTTTGTTAACACTGAAATACATTGAGCAATAATGTTTTTATCTCTTATTTCAACAGTTTTAACAGACGGACGACATAATAGACTCACTCGATTCACATTCTTTCATAGATTCAATCAAAAGCAATATTACATCTGCCATATACACAGCTAAGAAACAACGTAATCACATCTATTTCCCGGAGAAGTTACAGAGACCCTCCATTAAGCTTTTGTAGAAATGATTAAGCATGTACGAAAGGATTTGGAGGTAAACCTCGGAAGGCTCTAAATAGAGCGTGCCCCGAATAATACATGCCTATAATACAAAATAATAATCCAAGAATTATGATAATAATATCCATTGCTTTTTGGTACCATTTTAACGTTGAGCCTTTGATTTTTAGGTGGAATATACATGGCCATAAAAATGAGAGCATAGTTCCCGTAAAACTACCAATAAACCCCATTAAAATAGCAAAATGTGGTATTGTTATAGCAAGAATTAAAGTGACTACTACTAGGAGTAACCGAAGGGCCAACCCCCATACTTTTAAAGCACCGTCCGTCTCAAAGCAAGTTGGGAGATAGGTCTTTGGGCGTCCTTGAAAGAAAGTAACTTGCAGCAACTCAACCGCAGCAAAGAAAGGAAGAGGGTAAGAGAGAAGAGCTTTTACAACCAGAATCAAATTGACAATTATTTTCAAAGTTTCACTAGGGAGGTTATTGGTTATGACTTCCTTGGTGTCTTTCCCCCACGTTACAAATCCAATGTAAGAGAAGAGCGCCTTGAATACAGCCGCCGCTAAGTGGGTCCAATGCAACATGCAGTGGAACTTGCTCCTGTCGACCATATTCACCTCCAAGGAAGGGAGAAATATCTGCGACGTGTAACTGAACACGACGATACCAAGAGAAATGGGGAATGTCCAGATGTCAATCTTGACTTGAACTTCGCTCCATTTCCATTCGGCAGCTTTGGTAAAACAGTAAATGAGTATAATACCGTTGATGAACAGGTGGGCGACGGTGCACCAGAAACTGAGCACTGAGACGTGGCGAAGGGTCTTAAGAAAGGCACACGGCAGGAGAAACGCACAACTTATCATGATCCAAGAACTTAGATCCACGGGAGAGTTGGGAAAACTACCAAGTAACAAATCTCCACATAATACAAGATACAAAATACATGTCATTATAAGTTCGATCAGTTGTGCAACGTTCACGATTTTCCCTCCAACTTTTCTTCCCCATACTTCTTCAGCTATTTCGACGTAGGAGTGGCGCACGCGCACCCTGTTTCCGCTGTCATCCTCCTCATACAGGCAATCAACTAGAATCTTCCCAGTATGGCAGCATATATAGGCTATGAGTATCATGGAGAGGAGTGCCCAGTACCCGCCTTGCAGAACTGCGTAGGGGAAGCTTACGATAAACATACCCTGGATGATAGTAAAAAAAATAGTTTGAGTACAAGCTTGTGTAAATAATTCTCTAATTTAATTTTTTTTCTGATTCCCTAGACCGCTTCTTAATCTTTCAACATAAAATCAAGCATTTGAACAATTAACTTTTAATCAAATAAGCCCACTAGATAAACTTTATGGGGTATTGAATACGTTTTCCAATGCAATTTAACAGTAAATCGGGCCTACATTCAAGAATGATTCGAAATTTCTTATTAAGTATAATTGCACCTTCGGCACATGTAAAAATTAACTTTTTCTGTCACTAATTCAATGATATGTGTTTGAAAACATGTTGTACACGAAAGAAGAAACTGCTTGTGTGTGTGGGGGGGGGGGGGGTAAGACATTCGGATTACGGACAGACATTACTGTGGATGACGATATGCATTCCAACTTAAAACCTTAAACCATAGAAGTAGAGAACTTCTATGCTTAAACTTGGACTTTTGTTGGGAACTTTCTTGTCTCCTGCACGTTTATTTCTAATTAATTGCTCTATCTCAGTTGATGCAATATGTTTAGAAAGATTATACAGTTTACACATGGATGAAATGGAATCAAACCTAAAATAACGATTTCAAATGGATATAGGATTAAAGTATGCGTAGGCCTAATCGTCTTTAGTCTATGAGTCGTCATTGAGTCTCGTGTTATTTTGCCAGCAAATACAAATTGCCCATTTAAGTATTTGTAGTGGGCACTGTTACTGACCACTTCTGCTTCTGTTTGGAGTGTTTACGTGAAATTACTCACAAGATATATAAATTATGCATCAGTGCACTTTGTCCCCTTCTTATGATACAGTTAGGAGAAGTGACCAATTGTTTTTATCGAAAAACTATTATCACGGCGTGTGAAAAAAATTTGATTTGCCTGCGGAGTTCGTTTTATGAAAAAACACAGTGATTTTTATTGATTTGCATATTTTAGCTTTTATTACGCCACTTGATGCCATATTTACATATTAATAACATTTGCAGTTATGATTATTACGGGTGGTATCAGTTCCTAAAATATTTTGGGTTAAGTGTTTCACTTAGGTATGCAAGAGAAAGTGAGAAAAATAACTTATGTTCGGGATATTGATTTTGGAATAACTAGTGTTCGAGTTCACGTTTTAGCGCTTTAGAAAGTGCAAAATTTGATTTGAAAGAAGGGTATGCAAAAAGTTTGCCCCTTGTCAAGCAAGTCCCTAGTGATTTTCAAATCCTACCGTTTGCATGTTTAATATGCTGTTGGCGCTGATCTGTAACATAAAGTACACAAGATCATAATAAGCTTTTTACCTGAATAGCGTTGGTAACATTCCACCCTGCTTGCCATTCCGTTATCTTTGTAGTATTCGGGGCACATGGTTCTTCAGCTTCGTTCATGACTTCAATGTGGCCATTTTGGTGAGGTTTTTCGCCACTTACACCTTCTTCCAAAGTTGTTTTACTTTGTACAGTGTCAGTAGATAAAGTTCCATTAGAAAAACTGTCGAAAGAAGTCATTTCAACGTCTTCATTTTCATTTTGAAATGTTTTGTAGGCAAAAACTTGATGCTTTTCTGAATCCATTCCGCTTCTTCTGAAAGGCACCATCTCTCTCCAGGAAAGGAATCTTTCTTTGAAATTATGACTGAGAGTCCAAAAACTAGCGAGGCGAAAGGAATCCATCCTGTCTCCTGACTTGCGTTGCAAATTTAGGGACAGTTATCGGGTAACAGGGCAGTTTATGTAATTGATTTACAAAGAAGATAACAAAAGACGATTACGTTATACCAGTGACTATCTTTAGCTTGTTCAATTGAACGGTATTTCCTGAGAAGTCCTCGGAAATCACTTCATGAATAAATCAAGCTACCGAAAACAATTCATCTAAAGTTAGACACCGATTTCCGACTGTCAAAACTGAATCATCGACGCGTAATCAAGAAAACTGCACTTTCGACTTGAACAATCATAAAATGATTTGCTTTTAATCCCAAACTTTCATTCCGTTACCCGCGCAGTAGAACTATCACATTTGACGTTAGGACGTCAACGTTGAAGAGGATAGCCCCCAGCATAGGACAACTTGGGAAAATATTGAAAACTTTCATTCTGTCCCGGATTAGCGAGTCTTCCAAAGTGGTTTGTATCGATCAGACAACACCGTGGGCACGTTTTAAGGAATCATAGTTCTAAAGCCAGATTGTTGTTAAGTTGCAGGGTCATTACTGGATTGCTGGGTGGTTTTCTCTGCCGGGCAAAGAGGGCCAGGAAGAGTAATTTATAGCCTAACATCTCTCCCCGCCCACATAAACCCTTCTTCTCCCCCATCATTTAATTACATAATAACCAAAGGCGACGATGGAAATATTTTGGAATAAGATGTTGGACCGTTAATCAATGAGACTAGTTCTGTACAGGAAGCATGCAGGAACAGCTGACGGTCTTGCCGTGATACCCACAGGTTCATTGATTGTACTGTCCTAGGGATTGAGGGAAAAACGAGAGTAGAATATAACACTAGATTGCAGAATAAGACTTTATGCAAATCAAATAATTAAACATGCTTATAGCGCTTGCTTCTGGAAATCTTTCCTCTTTCAGTCTTGGTCCCTGTTATTTTCTAGTAAACTGTCCTTCTAACAAAGGACATCACAATTCCTCCGAAGACGAAGGAAAAGGGTGCTTGGTTGATCACATCTGATGACGGGCCCATGGCAAGTTACTGGAGAGACGATAAACGCTGTAATGAGATATCTGTATGAAATTGCCGTGTCTCTGATTAAGAACAGGCCGGGCGTGAGGCGAAATATAATAACCATTAGCATGCATTTTATACTTCTCTATGGTTCCATTTAAAAATACATTGCACGAGATTATATTTGTGTAATTTTACAGTATATGGACAAGAACTAGTGGCTGTGCGTAGGAAGATTCTGGAAAAGTCCCAAGCGTTGCATTTGTAAAATCATAAGTTTCACAACCCTCTCGGATATTCGAGAAATGTGAAACATTGGTACATGTAGCATAATTCACCACACGTCTCTTTATTGCATTATTTTTTATTTAGAATCATTGTGAACTCGAAAATTTGGTACATTTCTTTAAAAAATACAGGACAGGATTATCTAGTCTGTTTGTAAAGGGTTTTTTTGTCTTTGGTCGGCCATCGCAGATCCGCGAAACGGCGCTCCTTTGTGAGAATGACTCCATGACTTTTCGTTTTTAAATCCAGGTCAATGTGCTGTTTAGATTTTTTTTCACTACCAAACAAAATGGTCATTCTACATTCCATTCTTGTTGATGATCAAATATGAGGATATTAGGTTTTAGCACTTTAGAAAGTGCAAAATTTTATTTTGAAAGAAGGGTACGCAAAAAGAAAATACGCCCGAAAATATTAATGTCTTGATTTCGCATACCGCGCCGGTTACTTGTAATGCCATGTGTTTGATTTGCGACATCTCAAACCGGCAGCGCATTTGTTGCACTAGTGGCAAAATGATAATGGGCGCAGCAAACACAATTTGGGAGAACAGCGATAGCCTTCTGAATATTTTCACAATTCATTTACAGGTAAAAAATGAGAACAGCCAACCATTTATACCCGACGGAAATCTAACCTGCGCCATTAAAGAAATACGCCGAGTTTATTACACAATGCCCACTGTTCCAGAGTAAAATAGGTCGTAGTGAAGACTGATATGATTTACAAGACCAACCACCTGTGACAAGAATGTTCAATGCGATTCACATATTTGAATTACAATGCCCGAAAAGCCGAAAACATGTTTTTAATGAAAATGCCATTAAATATTTACTTGGGTGACCTAGCAACATTACAATGTGAACATTTATAAGTTAAAACTACAACTGAAAAAATCAATTTGGATGGTAATAGACTGATAACTGTAGTTTACACAATGCCTTCTAAAACATGGACCAATATTACAACATTATTAGGATCTTATTACATAAATTTCATGCTACAGTCGCCCCTGTGTTATACAGATTTTAGCAGTGTACTTCTTCAAACTATCAAAAATGATAAAGTTCTCAAATAAGTACATTTATTGATATCGATAATATAATAAATAATAAACGTTTTAAAATTTAAATAAATGGTTTTTAATATTCTAAATAGCAATAATTGAGCAATTAGCAGCAACCATCATCAGCTAATATCTTCGTGATTGTCACATTTCGTTTTGATCTAAAAAGTAATTTGATTTCTGTGCTGAAATTACTTTGATTATACTTAATAAATAACATGAGTTTGTCTGTTGAGAGACTGCAAACCCCTATTTCTGCTAACCCCCAAAACAGTCACTGATACAAAGTACTTTCCAACCAGTTATGACATTTCTTATTGCTATCCATCGGGTGACACTGGGGTAATCCGGACGACAGGGTGCAGTCACTGCCTGTGAAGGAGTCCACGCGGGCCCAGGGGAATACAGGACGTGTTGGATGATCAGATGCAGAAACGGTGGCGTCAACTGCATTCTGCACAGGTAGTCTCTCAAGTTCGTCCTTTAATTCAGTTACATTTGGCGTTTCTGCCGGTGTAAATTCACGTACGCTGAGCCCCTCCATGGAAGGAGTCTCCAGTACAAACTTGTCAACCGGTTGCAGAAGTTTTTGCACCCGTTTCAGAACCACGTTGGTTTTTTCCTTCGTTTTCCAATGAAAATTTGGGACCCCACTGTGGTACTGCTTCGTGGGTTCTCGGGTGAGACGATACTTTTTCTTTGGCAATTTTTCTTGGTATAAAACATTCAACCGCCCATTGTTCGACTGAAAAGCTGGACGAAATCCTGCTTGTGGTTTGGGTAAGAGTTTTTTAGGTTTCCAAGATCTTCGTATTTGCGCCTCTCTTAACGTATAATAGAAATTCAAATGTCTGCTAGGCGTGTCTTTTAGACTTTTGATTTTCTCTTTTATCGGAGGTCGATACCTCCGAACCCCAGTCGTGGTGGAGAGTGTTAATTTTGGTAACCA